AGAGGCAGGAGGTATTAGGCCAATGAGTTCCAGAACAAGTCAGGTCAACAATAGCAAGACTCGCTAAAGACCCCCTCCCTCAAAAGAAAGCATAGTGTCTAGGTAGGTGTCGATCACAACCGAAATTGCAGTGCTTTGAAGACCGAGGCAGGAGGGTCACCATGAGTTCCAGGTCATCTTGGAAGTGAGATACTATTTAAAAACAAACAACAAACAAAAACAGCCCACCACTTCTGCCTGGATCTTGTTATCAATTATATTTTAATGTCTGAGACGAGGTGCAGGTACAGGAACTCTGAGGATTCCAGCTTTTGTCGTCCAGGAGAAACTGAGAACTACAGTGTTAGAACTCATGAGGCTGCAGGGAGGCAAAGGCGAGGAGGAGGGAGGTTCTTGCAGCAATCTCCGTATAATGAGATGGATTGGACCAGAAACCAGGGCAGTAGCGCCGGTGGTAAGTGCATTTGAGGAAACATGACTTCACCATGGCTCAGAGATAGGATGTAAGAAAAAGAGAATTGGAAGGTGAGTCACGCTTGGCTTGGGAGACCCCGCTGCACAACACAGATGCCCCTCTTGCTCTCGCCAGTCACTTCCTGCCTGCCCATCCAATCCCTGCTTTCATGGGTGTTCTTTTCCCTGTTGGCTTGTTACTTCTAAAATCCTGTGTCCTTTCCTTTGGTGACTTCTTACTAACCCTGAAAACACAGCCTTAACAGTCCCCAGAGTCTAGACAAGCCCACTTCAGTGGAAGACTGAGCATACTGGCCTGGATGGTCTTAATAACCAGGGCCGTGATTCCATTGCTGAAGTCTGCATTGTTTTCCAGTTCTTATTATTTTATGTGTATAGATGTTTTGCCTGCGTGTGTGTCTCTACACAAGGTGCACGTGGTGCCAGTGGAGGTCAGATTAGAAGGTGTTGGATCCCCCTGAAACTGGATTTAGGGTTGTAAACTACCATGTAAGTGCTGGGAATCAAACCCAGGTCCTCTGGAATAGCAGCCAGTGTTCTTAACCACTGGGCCATCTCTGAGACCCTGGAATTAGAAGAGTTTAACCTTGGGAGGTGTTAGGAAAATGTGAGCCCCAGCTCACTCACTTTAGCTTACAACCACACATGCAGAACAAGTTGCTCATTTTTTATTCTTTTCTTTTTCTTTTACTTGAGACAGGGTCTCACTATATTGCTCTGACTGTCCTGGAATTCTCTATGTAGACCAGGTTAGTCTCCAATTCACAGAGATATGTCTGTCCTTGCCTCCCAGTGCTGGGATTGAAGGCATTCACCATTATGCCTAGCTATGTAGTTCATTCCACTAACAACAAGCCTGACTTGAGCCTGGCATAATGATTTATACCTTTAATCCCAGCACTAGCACTCGGAAGGCAGAGACAAGGTCAGCCTAGTCTACATAGTGAGTGCTACAGGGCCAGACTACACAGTGAGGGCCTGTCTTTAAAGGAAAAAAACAGAAACCTGCTCAGGAACTGTCTCTATTCTTATTATCAATATCATCTTTACAGTACCCTCCTGTGTGCGTATGTGAGCATGTGTGTGTGTGTGTGTGTGTGTGTGTGTTTGGTGCTAGGAAGCCCGTCTGTGCTAGTCAAGTGGTCTGCTACTCAGCTATGTTCTAGCCCTGGGCTTCTATTTTGTTTGCCTGTCTGGGTTTATCATATTGACCTACATGGTTCAAGGCACTCTCTACCCTGTCCGGCTTTAGTAAGAGAAAGTCCATACTGTGAACCACTTGGAAACCTTGCTGTGGTTGTAAGCCTGGTGAACCAAACCATCGAGTTCCCCACTGTTGGCTTGTGCTCCCTTCAGGTTACGTAGTCCAGTCCTGTCGTGGGAAACTAACACCTACGGGAAATGCTGTGGGCCCCAAAAGAAGCTTCAGCCCAGGGACCCCTATTTTGATCCCTCCCGTATGTTCTGTATGTGTGCCCTGGATGCCTGTGCCCTTCTGTGGCAGCTCCTGGCATCCTCTCACACAGATGCATATTCTCTCTTACTGTGACCCTAAAAGTTTTGGCAAGCCAGGCCTGTTGCTCAGGCCTGTAATCCTAACACTTGAGAGATGGAGGCAGGAGGATCAAGAATTCAAGGATACACAGAGGATACACAGGAGGATCAAGAGTTCATGGATACACAGAAATTCTGAGACCAGCATGGGCTACAGGAGCCCACCTCACGCAAACAACTGATTTCGGTGAGAATGGCCCCCATAGGCTCATATTGTTGAACACTAAGTCTCCAGCTGGGAGAACTGTTCAGGAAGTGTGGCCTCACTGGAGGTGGCCTTTTGCTGGAGGCAGACTCCACCTCAAAAGCCTACCAAGTTAGCCATCTGCCTGGTGCTTGTGGATAGAGATGTGAGCTCCCAGCTACTGCCCCAGTGCCATGCCTGCCTGCCTGCCTCCTGCCTGCCTACCCTGTCAGGCTTGTCATGGACTCACCCTCTAAAACTGTAAGCCCCAAACAAACTCTTGGATAAATTGCCTTGGTGGTGTCTAATCACAGCAATAGAAAAGTAACAAAGACACAAGCCACACAAAAGCTGTTAGCACAGGAATCTGCAGCTCAGAGCTGGCGGGATGGCTCAGCAGGTAGAAGCGCTTGCTCTGCAAGACGGAGTGAGGGCTTGGGTTTATTCCCAGAGCCCAAGCCTGAAGGAGAGAACCCCTGAGGTTTGTCCTTTGATGTCCACACTACGCACACACATATAATAACAA